TGACACTTTTTAATTTTTTTTTTTCTGGGTTATATTGGGAACAGAGCGAGCAAATGGTGCCTCCTTGCTTCGTTATCTTTGATCCACCGTTATTCAGTCCCCTTTCTGCTAAAGCGCCCGTTCTGTTTTTTTTTTTTTTTTTTGAACTTTTTTTCACGCTATCTAGCTGACCTTTCAGGCCGCCAGATCAGCCACCGATTGCAAGAGGGGCATGTTACGACGCGGCAAAGGATCCTCTTCTCGCTCTTTTTGTTCTCCCAACAAACGAAAGTGAATCAAACCCACCTTTTTTTTTTCTTTTGTGTCCTATTCATTCATGCGCAAATTGCGCGTATAGGGCGACACTCTTTTTTGTTCGCCCCTATTGTCCTGCGGGACGATGCACCCTCCGTGTTGCTGCGCCTGATCGCCGCACCGAGTCACGCGTCTTGACCTGCACGCCGTCCGAAAGGCGCCGCCAACAGATTGATGCGCGCGTTATATACCCGAATACGCAACTGTCCGCAGCCACTGACGCGAGCGCGCAAGACTGCGATCCTCGGGCTCTCTCCATCGGCCACATTACTGCACACGTGAGCACGATCGCACGCACCGAGTGCTGCAATCTACCGAAAGGTGGCCCCTGCGTAGTCACCGGTGGGCCGAGTCCACGTACCTGTATATTGTAAGTACATTTTGCCAGTGGTCAGGCAGCTTCGTTAAAGGGACACTAAAGAGAAACAGTGACTTGTTTTATATCGAAAAACTGCATTTTAAGAACGTTAATGCCACACGCTTCACTATCATAAGTTGATTATTAGCGGAGAAAATTGACTTTGAAGTTTCACGTTTATATTTCACGCCGAAACCTCCGTTCATGGTGTAGAAAATTTATATATTTTTTTAATTTTCGCGCCCTTCGCTCGTCGAAATTGTCTAAAACCTCGTATGCGAGGTCTGTGGCACCCGCAGATGACGGTTAATTACTTCATTTTTTATCGATTAGAATCTATACGTATAGGCCTCAGTGAACTCATTCGCAATCTATGACGTCATGGTTTTTAGTGCGGGAATCTCAAGGTGGTGTCTCTGCACGCATTTTCTGTTCGAACGTTGTTTTCTCGGCTACCAAGCGTCGTGTCGCGGTATAAGAGGAGTGTTTTAAGGATTGTGAAATTTTACCATACTAACAAAAAAAAGGGGGGGCGTGACTATAGCTTCGTTGACTCGATCAAAAGACTTGCAACAAGTCCGTGCATGCTATATGGCGAGAAATGGAGATAAGAGAAAATGCCGTGCAGCTGTGGTGCTCTTAGTGTTTCATGTTCAACTCGCGATGAATGTGCTTGTGCAACTTCTGCTCCGCAAGTGTTTTTTTCTTAAGGATCCGCGCAGTGTTCGACTATATATAGTTTAGCCGTTTGAGATGGCCTTGCCATGTGCGTGTGTGTTTAGAAAAAGTTGTTAACGATTTAGAGTACTAGGTACTCTACTATGGGAGAGCATAAAGCCGTCCCGTTCCAGTAATGCACCCACTGAAAACGGCTTTTTGGCAGCCAACATGTGCACTTGAAGCATACACTTCCCGCAGAGACGTCACGTGTGTAATATCTTCGTGCTCCTGCAGTGAAGAAACTTACCGAACCGCACCCAGACGGCTTCAGTCCACGCGTCGTGTATATACGCGGCGTGCTGCAAGACTTACAAGCGCGCACATGTATATAAACGAAACCGTGGCCGAGAATCGTGAGTGCGTCCAGCTGGCCACTTTGCGGGTCGTGTATGAGTCATGCACAGCCAACGTTTGCTGGCAGCTGGCTCATTTTATTTAAGCGACCTGCAATAATTATCTCTGCTATAAACGCGTGCTTGCATTAGATATCGTTTTTTTTTTTTCTTTCACGGGGCGAAGGGCCTCAAGACCGCACAATGTCCCTCCGTCCATAAGCCGCCGCCCGGCGCAGATGTAGTCCAGGTGCATGTGAACAAACCGAAACATCTGTGAATAACAAAGAGGTTATCAAAAGGCTGTAAACTATAGAGAACAAAACAAAAATAAAAGGCCACAGAATCAGAAAAACACCGACAGTTAACCGCGTATATCAATCAAAACATGACTGAACAAAGTGTTAACAAGAAAAAAAAACAATAGGTTGTTAAACAGAACAAAATAGAAGGCCACAAGTCATGATCCGATGCACACTTGATTCGCCCCATGCCCCATCATCAGCATTCACCTCGCGGAATATTTTTTTAAAGGTGTAAATAAGCAATTGCATTTGAGGTGAATCGCGTGCTGAGGCCTACGGGACGGCTTCAAGCTCTCCCGTAGTAGAGTACCAATCGTTAACCACTTTTTTCTAAACACATTTGCTGTGAAAATGGGTAGTTGGCTGAGCGAGCGTGGACGTACGACATGGATTACATTAAATTCAAATAATACCCGACAAAGTTCTCGGAAAACGCGAGTGTATCCTAAACAATTTTTCGCCGACAGATTCTTTATTTTACTGACAGCCATTGTCTTTGCGTGTATTGTTCTGCGTTCGCACATGTGCACTGTTACATAACCCCATTTTCGACTGCTCTTCTCTGTATAGCTGCTTCTGTCGCAGCGCTAGCGTTTTCTACGTGCCTGCATATCTTTGTCTGGAGCTTTCGGTTCCGTTTATGTTGTGATATCATCTATATTACTGCTATAACTCTATATTATACGTAGTATAGCATAGTCACAGTAGAGTCCGATTCCCCTATAAATCATCTTGCACCTGTTGCGTTAACAGCCGCTTACGTGTCAACAATTTATAGCTCCAATCATACGAAAGTTAGCGCTGCGAATTAAAACCCCGGCTTCTCGCGATTACTGCAGCCCTACGTCTCACATATCCTTGATTCAGACTTGCAGCCGCGTTGCATTGTGTGTACTTCCGGGAGAGGCAAATCGTCTGCGCAGTGTAGTATAACTTCGCTACGTGGCAGGGTGGGAGATGTGAAAGGTCTCGCGTTTGGAGACTTGCCAAACCGCGGGCCTCTTGACGCGTTCTATGGCGTATAATAAACTCGGAGGGGCGAAAAGACGGGGAGGCTTGCTTGAATGCAGAGCTTTTTCTTGCTTTTGCGTGTGTGTGTGTGCAGATAGACTTGAAGATTACGCTCGCGCGTGCAAACACGCGCGAAAGGTGCAAGACACGGAAACAACACGGTAAAAGGCGTTTGCCCCTCGTGAATGAATGAAAGAGGTTTTTTTTTTTATGTATTACCCTCGGGGAGGGGGTGGGGAGGGGGCAGTTTGTTTCCTTATTGTTCTTTCGCCTCCGTATATGCCATCACCCATACGTATGAGAATATCCTTTCCGGAATTGTTTCACGGGTTCCTGTGAGCCTGTGCGAAGTGACAATCTGTGTTGGCTTGTTTAGTTGTAATATAGGGCTTCTACCCGCTGTTGAAGTTAATTATATACGTGCGAGTCGTTTTTTAAGTCGTTGCGAAGGCAGCAACAGCTTTCAAGAACGGGATGATAACTGCGCTGGCGTCTTTTTTTTGTTGTTGTATGTTGTTGAAACGTGCTCGTCAAAAATTTTGTACACGTCAGCTCCTTCGTAATGACAACAAAAAAAGAGGACAAACTGTCTGTAAATTGCGCAAGAAGTTTCGGCTTGTCCTGGTGTCAAGATAGTCAAGATGACGGCTGCCGTGGACCTAGCCGTAAATTAGCGTGTGTCAGAAACGACCTTCTTTTTTTTTCCTTTTTTTAACCCACCTTCGAACATGTGTGCATTAATTATAGATTGGAAATTAAATTTTGCTTTCGTATCACTTCAAGAGGCCGCGACATTTTTTTGTGGCACAGTGTGCAAGCGTGGGTGGTTGACGATGGCTAAAAATCGAGCTGTACGTTCTCGCGAAGTTTGTTCTCCGCCGTTATAGCGTCGTTATTATAATCCTCTTTCACGATTGGCTCAACGTCCGTTGCTATCGCCCGACACGGCCCAATGGCAGGGTTCGAAGAGGGTCACTCTCCTAACCAAAACGACAAAGTGTCGAAAGGCGTGCTGGAATGGGCGAGTAAGAGAGCGAGAGGAAGTGAAAACCGAGAAATCGGTGGTTTACGACTCTCGGCCAGTTTGGCTGGCTGTTGGAACAGGCAGGGTTTTAAAGTTCGCTCACTGACAAACCAGTTGCGGGGTGTGGTCAGAAGAGGAGCATCGTATGGGCGTCTAAGCGGGGACTGAAAGGGGGAGAGGGCAAGCGCAGAGGATTTACTGCGGCAGCCTGCGTTGCCGCCTGGGATTGCATTGCGAGGAGAGGGGAAAATGCAATGCTCCGAACGCGCGCAGCGCACGCTGTCAAGCAGCCACCTCGAAATCTGCCGCCGGGCAGGTCACGTGCTCGCGTTGGACCAGTAGCGTCGCTTCCCTTTGTTCAAACCATTGTCGTCTGCTAGCAAAGCATTTCACCGATTGCGCCCATCCTCGAACGAGCAGCTTGCGTGACCTGCTCGAGCCTCGTTGAATTGTTCTCACGTAACTAATAGATAGGCTTCTATACCGCGAGCGAGCTCGTAAAAAATAATTGTAAAAATAAGTGGTCCTGTCGAAGAATAGCCGGATGAGCCGAACGGCCTGCGCGCGGCGGTCGTGGCGCGATCTCCTTCTTGCTCTCTTATTGGGTGAGGAGGACAGGGGAAGGGACGCCTCGGCAACAGCGCCGAAGGAGCCGCTAGCTGCGCTTCAGCCAACGGGACGCCGCGGCTTGCTGCGCTCGCTCCTTCTCCGCCGGCGAGAGGGAGCGCGTTGCAGTAGCAAAGAAATGCGTGGATGAGGGTAGCGAGTGAGCGAGAGAAATGAAAAGAGAAATGGGAGCGGAGAAAGTTTCGTCGCGTTGCGGTTGTTGCCTTCGGAAAGGAGCGGAGAGTGACGGGGGTGGGCGCGGCTTGAGCTGTGTGACGCTTCGGTGTGGTGGCTGCGGGAAGAGCAAGAGCTGCAGCGTATTCTTTACCTGCGGTGCGCTCGGTGTGCAGGCGGCGCTGACGTTTCACCTGCCGGACGGAGGCACCCAGCGCGTGGTGGTTGAGGAGAACCTCCGCTGCATCGACCTGTGCCATCTGCTGACGCTGAAGCTGAACGTGGCCCGATCGCCCACCTGGACGCTCGTGGAGAGGATCGCGCAGCCGAGGATCGGTGAGCTACTCTGCACTTGCTTCCCCTATTGGCACCACTGGTGCTGCTTCTCTCATCTCGTTCTTCCCGATGCCCCCCTCCCCCGAATGTTCGAATTTGTTCGCGTCTTGGGACAGCTCGGAGTGTCCTATAGCGTGCCTTGTTGACATGAGCCTCGCGCGAAGGATCTTGCGTTTTTGCAGTCGGCTAGGGAAAAGCGAGGTTGATATTTTCAGTGATCGAAAGTACCGTACAGTGATCCAGCACTCACACTCTACGTTTGTATAAAGAACATGCTTTTTACATATAAATGCACGCCTGTGCATACTCAACCTAGCTGAACTTACGTGTATTGCCCTTTTTTTTTTTCAGTAAGATTTCTCAGTTTTCCGTGTATCCTCGGTTACCCAGTTATCGCGTACTTTAGTGTAATCAAATATGCTCGCGTTCTGCATTTTCGGTCGTGGCACTTTCATCTTATTTTTGCCTACTTCCCGACTACAACTTAACGACACTGTTAATCAGAACTAACAGACAATGGTGCTGCGTTATCATTTTGTCCACTTATACTTTTTTTTTCACATTTATATCACAGTTACTTCAAATAGCATCCATCCCCCATTGTTTCCTTGGCAGTATTCTTATTATATTGTGTCTACAAAGAAAGGCGAGCCCTTAAAATGCCCCTTCTTTCGTTCGTTCTTAACGACAGTGTGCTCGTTTCTTTTCCTTAAATACCTCCTATTCCTGGATATGTTATATTTATTTATTTATTTCGACATACTGCCAATCCCATCAGGGATTTTAGCAGGAAGGGCGTGAACATAAAAATTCGAATAAGTACACAATAAAGACATACATCGCGATAAAGTACAGAATGAAACTAACAGAATCGGATCATTTAACAATTTCAGATCAAAGAAGGCATAAAACATTAGTGTAAAGAAAAGTTGTCAGAAGAAAATAAATGCAGCGACTTGGTTGACGCATTGGATGACATATTGGCATATGCATTAAGAAACACAGCAAGAAATTACAGCAATAAGAAACTACCCTACAATATGGCGAAGTATTTCAAGGAAGGGCAAATTTATACACACTGAAAAACAGAAATATGTTCAAGAATCAACAGAGCGATTTCTCTTCACCTGGATTCAGTATTAAAAATTGCTTAAAGAAAAAATATGATGACATGATACTTCGCTCGTACAATGTTCACACGAACACTCATATTAAAATCAACCAGGTGATTCCGTTTGCATAATACATAGTTTATTTTCGACAAGGGTTAGAAATTTTGCTAATTCGGTAGTGCTGGAGATACTCGAGCGTAGGCACACAATGCTTCCCTCTGTTCTCATATCCGCTGTTTCCACGAACCTTCCTTCCTTTCTTATTTTCTTTCTTTCTTTCGTTCATTCTTTCTTTCTTTCTATTTTCTTTTCTTTTTCTCCTATGCGTGACGTTTCTCTCATGCGTGACCGTGAAAGAAGGGGTATACGTTATATAATCTCCGTGTTTCGAAACGACAGCTCTCGCGAGATCTGGGCAGCGCTTTCCCACTGAATGCCGCGTGCACGACCTGGTTGATGTACGTATAATATGTTGCGGTGTTATAAAATATTAATAAATGTAAAGCGTGTACCGGAAGCGCGTTGCTCTATCCTGCCCACGCACGTCAACTTTTTATATAGCTTACTAACTGGGCAGTAAAAAGAAAAGTGTTAACGCTACACTCACGTATGCAGCTGTCACACACTGGTTAATATACGCCCCAAGCAAAATGTTTAATGTAAGTAGGATGCGCAACAAAATTACAAAGAAAACTTAATTGGGTTGGCCTGCGCGCGAAATTTCAGAAGTGTATCAAAGCGCACACGTTTAACGAAGTATGTGCCCATGTAGAAAGTGCATTGCGATAAAAAAAACAAAAAAAAAACTCGAGCCTTTGGAGTTCTGTCGACCCTCGCAAGAATGATTAAAACATTATAGCGACGACCGCATTTTGTGGTCCCAAATCGCATTTTATGCGCATGTATTGACTAAACGAAATGGCTAGTTATAAACTGTTATATTACGTGGCATACGTGGTATACGTTCTACACAGCTGTCGTACAGAAAAAAAAAAGCAGTATATATATACCTGGCATGTAAATTCTTTCTTCTTACGCTGAATCACGCGGCGCTAGTCGCATTCATTCATTTGCCGTAAGGAGCTTTTTATTCCAGCCGTTAAAATGTCTGGAATCTCAATGAACGCAGCTGTTCTGCCGTGTACCGTCGTCCTCCCTGCCGACTGCAGCGCTGCAACGAAGGAGTATCTCGCTTAGCAACAGCTCGTAGCCAAGTGGGCAAAGGCGTGAAAATAATGTGAAGATTTTTTTTTTTTTTTCAAATGTTGCTACCCTGAAATTCGCAGCGCACTGAACAAAAATACTGTAGGTATAAAACTTGAGCGGTCCAAACTAACCGGTGACATTCGTCATACACTTGGCGCGTTGTTGTACCGCTCGATTGTGAAACGTTCTTCTCGGTCCTGTATGTTAGGTCTCTTTCTTTGTTTATTTTTTTTCCCCTGGCAGTCAGTCTCCCTGACAGTCAGTCCGTTCTTTTCCTGAAGCCTTTTTTCCGTTTATGATCCGCTTGCCAAGGGAGGCGCTGGTCGCGTCGCTTTTTTTTTTTTTTTCCCAATAACAACTTCGCACTGAACAAACGCAAGGCGAAGCAGGCCTCTTCGAACAAACAGCTCCTCCTTCCAGTGCCTTTTTTCGGCAAGAAACAACAAAAAAAAAAGAGATAGAAAACGAGGAAGGAGATAAGAAAAAACTTGCTGCGACTTCCTCAGACTTCTCGGTCGACGTCTATATACCGCAGCACTGCAGCATGCCCGATCAGCAGCGCTCCACGGTTCCGCTTTGTGGCTTCGCAGCTGCACTGCTGCTGCACTGCTGCTGCACTGCTGCTTTCGCGAATCTTATGCATCGTGAGTTTCTTTCGTGTCAGCTTGGATGTACGAAGAATTTTTGCAGGATCTTTTTTTTTTTCTTCTTTCACCGCGAAAGGGGTGTTGAAAAACAGTTCGAAAGGGAATTGGAAGGACTAGGGAAAAGGATTTGCTTGGTCTCGTCCGCGAAAGGATCAGCTTTGCTTCCGTTCGTCCCCCTGTAGACCCTGTACGGTATAGCCGAAAGAAAACTGAGAAAATCAATTAGACGAGATTTAGAGTGTCCTCTTTTTTTTATAGGCTCGCGTTGAAAGTCAGGAGCAAGGATGAAAAAAAAAAAAAGCTTGCGCTGCTCGTAGAGGGCGTTGCAACCGCAGCGTGAAAAGACGTGTTTTTTTTTTTATCGTGTGTTTTCCCTCTCAATGATTTTAAAGTGAAGTTGGTGTTTGCAAGGTCTAAATGTTGAATAAATTTTGCTGCAAACGTCATTAAGAAAAAGAATGAAAACGGTGCTTAATAAAGGAGAATATGTGTATACTGTGTGTGATAATCCGGGCGAATGTATAGTGAATCCATCGTGGGTTACAAAGTGAAATTCGGCCAATGTGCAAATGCTAACTTCCAATGGGACTGTAAGAAATTTCAGTTCTTAGCATTTCAGTTGTAATAAAAACGGCGCCTACAAAATGAGAATGTAGCTAATAACCTGGGCATTGCAAGTTTCGCCTATTAATTGCTTACGCAGCTGTTGTGGAAGATTTCGTTAGAACGAACAAAGAAGTCTCGGGGCACGAAGTCCGTTTCGCACGGAGGCTGTGTGTATGTACCTAAAACTTAACGCGAGCCGGAGCGATCGACATATATGATGGTCATCTCCGAATACTTGAAGGCACTCGCGAAGCCTTTTCTCACGGGTGTTTTCAGATATTATATAGCTTCCTTGTCGCAGTTTTCATGCTTTAACACAGTTTTCACGCCCAGACTCAGTCTGAGTGAACCCGGTTTAGCAAAATTTTAGTGAGTCTTGAGTCCGAGTGAACATGAAGCGCAAAATATATTCCTTGAGTCTCAGTGATCCACCACCTATATTTTCGACCGATGCGAATGCGTATTAGGGCCATATATGGGCGTAGCCGGGGAGGGGGGGGGGATCATTTTCCTTCCCCTGAATGTTTTCTGTTTTTCTTGTGCATATACACGCACACATACGAACGCACGCACGAACATGCATATAATGTACCGTTGATCCCCCCCTCCCCCTCGAAACAAAACGTTACTGGTTGCGCCATCGATCAGCACACATGGTGTTCCACTGTAGATACTGAGTACCATGCATTGCCCTTAGTCACTGAGAAGTCTTTCGGTAAAATATTTTCGTAAGATATATTTCAGCCAACCACGATGCGGGACATATTATTAGTGAAGCCGGCTGACCAATGAGAAAACGCGCTTACGAAAGGACCTTTCGAATATTGTTCTCGGCACTTGAATTCGTCAATGCACTGAAAATGTCATGTGGCCAAGGATGTATATATGAAGCGCGTTTTTTTTTTAATAAAAACGCTTAGTTGCTAGACTGGCGCCCTATCCCATCTCCTCCTTTTCTTTACTTGTCTGAGTTGCGCCTCGAATATTATATTAAGCTATGAATTTCCAACTCTTATGTGATTCTAAAGAGAAAAGAAAAGTGAGATTCGCAACTGTCTGCACCACGAGTGCGACGCCTCAAGAGTAGCTCACGAGGGATGGGGGTAAGGAGGGATTAAAAGGATAGGATTAAAGGCATAGAGATAGAGAGGGGAAAGGAGAGAGCGTTGCGCAGGGAGAGCGACACCCAGAAGCAAGGAAAAAATAGGGAAGATGGACGCGGTCGCAGGAGTCCGAGGACGAGGCACCACTCAGCGAGAGTTCTTGTCGGCGTCAGGAGATCGCGGGGGCACAATCGGTCAGGATTTCGAACTCGCTCAAGAAACAGCACTCTATAACCCTCGTATTCGTAAACGCTGCTTGACTTGAACCTGACATGCCACCGACTACAATGCAGCACAAATGCGTTTTCAACACGATGTCTTTAGGC